TTAAAGTGGACCAAATGTGTCAGATGTGAATACATCCTACAGTATTTTTACAGTCTTTATTTTACAGTTAAAATATATGTTTATCAAATAAAGTCTAATGTTACAACTAATCATGGATCCATTTAAAGTGGACCAAATGTGTCAGATGTGAATACACCCTAAAAAATATTTAGAAGAGACACTGTGTTCTAAAAAGTCCCAGCCAGTAGTCACAAGGAAAATAGGTACTGACTCGTGGTGTCATTTTATTTTTGATAATATGTTCATTACTAAATCTACTTTGATATTAAATCATGTGGGATTCCTTGCCTGATAGTCTTTCCTGATCACATTTGGAACATCCATATTATGAGTAGAAGGACAGATGTCTTCATACTTCTTCTGAGTAAAGATGTCAAGTCCAGTAAGGTGCACCTGAGAACACAGATAAACTAATTAAATCCTGCTGTGGAACAACAAAGAGTTTGGAAAAATAAAATAAAAAATTATATATATATATAAAATCTGGAAACACCAAACTAAACCAGAAATGCACTTTTAGCCCCAATTCCAAAAAAGGAAGATGAAGTCAGTGTTACCTTGGCATGACCATGCTTGCCAGTTTTTGAGGTAGACATTTCAACTATCTTACAGGGACGTCCTTTCAGCATAACGAAGCCGTTCTTCCTCAGTGCAGAGCACTGCATGGGGTATGTGGTAGAGGCCCCAGCATCTGCAGTGGAGAAGTCATCATCTGCCATAATGGGCCTAAAACTGCTCCAAATAACCGAGAGAGGAAAAGCACCATACAACAACAAATGTGAGTAATATTCAAATAGTGTTAAAAAAATATTAACTTCCTGCGATGTGTACATGTACCTTTCTCCAAACAAACCACATGTAATGGACTCAAAAAAACATTGGGCCTCATGCAAGAACTGTTCGTACACACAGATTTGTTCTTAAGTTGTGCGCACGAGTCATTTAGGAGAATTTGTGGCGTTCACCAATGTTTTCATATTCTACGATTTTTTTCAGATACGAACAAAATTCACGAGTGGTCCAGACCTGTCGTATATTTTACGAGCAGTCAGTCTGCTGTTATCCAGATGGGTTTTCTTCATTAATAACTTTATATTTCGTTAGTTTGAAGATATTTTGAGTTGAAAATAAATCACACTCCATAATTATGTTGACAACAAGCTATTCTGCTTGAATTAGTTATAATTTTAAATGTAATAATTTAGACTAACAATATAAATTGTCCGTCCGGCCGGCTTACTCGCTATCGGGTGCGGGGGCAGCAGCAGAGAGACCCCGCTCTCCCCAGCGACACTTTCCAGCTCTTCCTGGGGGACTCCAAGACGTTCCCAGGCCAGAGGGGATACATAATCCCTCCAGTGAGTCCTGGATTTTCTCCAAAGTGCCAGACTTATTTTGAAAACATTTTAAAATGCTTATTTCAAACCCGCATCTGAGACCACCTGCGACAGCGTGGGGGGTTGGGGTGGGGGTACGGTGCGCGACAGTGTGTCTTCTGAATAAATGAAAATGATTTAACACAGTTGTTTATACTTTTAGCAGCTCTTTTTATTCCACGGCTGACACTGCAAAAAAATGACAGATTTTCTTTACTGGATCTCTGACAGACGGACTTCAATCTCTGAACTCGTAAAG